CTGTTTACAGCATGTCGCGCAAAGTTAGGTTGAGCGTTTCGGGTTAGGGATCAGATCGGATGGGTTATTTTATTTATTTATTTTTTCAGTGTTCGATCAGAAAATTTGAACCAATATCAGACCAAATCAAGCCATCCCTATTTCCACTCTGTGACAACATGTTGTTGTTTTCTTTTGGCTAATCTTAGCTATTTCTTAACGCGGCTTTTCTAAAATTGAGACCATGATTTTTTTTATTGCTGTTTTTGCTACAACTTGGGCAATTATCGGGTGAACCTAATATTGTTGTTTGGTTAGCCATTAGCCATAGTCTTAAAAATGATGTGTGCCTTTTAGACCTTGGATTTTGTTGCTATTCTTCTCCAGCCATCTTTAAGTTTTGCTGGTGAACAGTACCTGTACATCAAAGGTTTCTTGTGGTCTATTTTTACATGACAATTATAGGCTATAAAATAATAATTTAGTCATTTTATTAGTTATATATATTTGTTCTTATTTTTAGCTCATAATAAAAAGTCAATATCTCAATGACAATACAAGCAATTTCAAAGGAGTATTGTGGAAGTGTTGGACGTTTGTCTCCGACACATCAGACTCATGACGGTGATTTTTTCCCCCTCTCAGGTGTTGGCTGCCATATTTCATTTCAGGGAATTCAGCAACGACAGCCTTCTCCCCGCAGAGTCGTGGAGTCGTCACTCACCACGGCGCCGTCTGCTCACATGGCTCTACCCACAGCTCCGCTGTTTGACAGACGGCTATCAACGTCGCTGAAGGAAGGTGTGTGCTGACAGCAGCGGGCCTGATGTGAGTGAAGATGACTCGGGAAGTTAAGAGGGATTTGTCTTATTGATACTGACAGTTTTATTGCTCTGTACTACATTGCAATACTTCAGTTTTGTTTGGAGGATTTGCAGTGTTAACACCAGGGCTGATGTTGGTGTCACGTCTGGGTGAAATCAATCATTTGGCACAATTTTCCACACCTAGAAAATGTCTCCACAAGGAAGCGATAGTTTGTCATTTGAACTTCTGTTCTTCTTCAAGTATCCCAGATTACAGTGAGAGAAAGGACAGTGAATTTTCTTCTTCTACACTTATAAGAACCACGGGGATCTAATTAAATTAATTGATTTAAATTTTATTTAAAATTACAATAAGATATGACTTTATGGGGGGTATAAAGCAAAGCTAGCATGTCCCGGGTCTGTCAACATGGTTCCTCTGACACTTTTTGGACAATTTGGACAAATAAAATTCAATTAAATAAAAAATAAAAAACATATATATATATACATATATATATTCCTTATTATAGTATTCTTTGTAAATGTATATTTATGAATATATTTCTATATATTTAAATATATATACAGTATATATATATATATATATATAAAATCATGGCAATTTACAAAAAAAAGTATACAACAGTTAACTCTGCTGTGTCCAAATTGCCAAAACCTGCATACATATTTTTAATTACAAAAACATATCCATCTTCCATGACATTGATACAGACACTGTGACNNNAGAAACACGTGGATCAGCAGTGAACCGAAGTTAGTAGATGTGCATCGTCTTTTTCTTTTTCTTTTTTTTTTTACTGCAGGAGACCATGTCCTGTTGATTTGATATACGAGGCTCCCTCTCTCTGTTAATGCCAGCTCTGCTGGGGGCGATTTCATCTCTCTCTGCAGGAAGGAGCAGATTTATGGAGCTGTAATACTGCATCTCTAGTTTTGCTGCCATGGAAATTTAAGGGAAACTCAAAAAAGCAGAGACGGAGCTCGATGTGGAGAGAAACCTGTTCATACAGGGGCGGGCATCATTTGTCTTTACAGATTCACGCTGCCAAACAGGGTTCAGGGGGGCAGCACGTTGTTTATCTGAATGTGGATAAGGAGCAAAATAATATATTTTTCTTGTTTACGCTAACCAATCAGAACTTTGTTTGAAATATGCTTTTTAGCCTAATTTCATGGAGGTCTGCATTTGTTATGCTACATCTGAGCCACAAGCTTTTGTTGAAACTTTTGTGTCAACGCTCCACGGCCCACATCCTAGATACCTGGATCCAGGATGTGGGCCGCTAGAGGTGTGTACATCTTGATTGAAAGATCAGGAGACTGGTTGTGCTCTGTTTTATGTGGTGAGTATAAAAGTATAAAAGCGCAGTTGACGTTCACTCACACTAACACTCGCACAACCTCATGTGTTTATCGTAGACACATCTTCGTCCTCCGCTCTCTCTTTTCCCCAGCCTCCCTCCCTCTTTCCCTCTTTTCCCCCCCCCCCCCCCCCCCCCCCCCCCACTAACACCGAAAATCAGCCTTCGTCTCACTGCTGCGGCCCAAGGCCGTCGGCTGTTGTCGAATCGGCGAGGCCATCGGGCCATCGGAGGATACATAACTCTGAAATAAGACCATCTGAAAGCCAGCTGGTTTCTGATTTCATTACCGGCTCTATTGTAATATTTTATGTTGCATCTCACGCTGTTCGGCCTTTCTCAAATTTCCTGTGATGGCACATGCATTAAAGGGATATTCCAGATTTTTTATTTTTTTTAGCTGATGTGAGGTCTTGTGTGTCTCCCTTTTCCTCCTGCGAGTTATAGGGTTAATTATTGGGATTACACTCACCTGTGTCTCTGTGTGTATATATATATATATCATTGTTTTCGACATATATATATATATCTATATATATATAGATATATATATATTTATAAACACTTTCTAACAGATATCAGTCAATGGAAAAGAGTTATTGAATTTCTGAAAATACTATATATATATATATATATTATATAAATGATCACCTCACTATTATATTGTGATATAGCAAAGAGGCTTATGAAAGCAGTTGCAGTGGATATATTGACTGCAGTTAAAATCAAAAGTCAAACCATTAGCCAAATATATCTAAAACCAAAATACCAATGTATTTTTTAACTGGATCAAAAAAAAAAACAGAAAGATTTTCCGTAGCTCTTCCTCTGAGATTGGACTCAAGTTCAAATCCGTGCATAAATGAAATTCAATCTGCTGCTTAAAGAGTGTTCATGTTCAGTCCATGCCAGCAGGAGTCAGGGACAGTAGGGGAAGACGGATAAACTTCCCAGTTCTAAACCCCCTGATATAATATCTATACACAGATGAGCAATAAAAAATGGGACTTCTTCCTACTTGTCTTCTCTCTTTTTCTCCCTTTCTTCTTTCTTCTTTCTTGATTTAGATGGCAACATTTTTCACCAAACCTCAATGGAGGTTAAACTCCTACAAATCAAACCGAGTCTGATTCTGGAAAACAGTTCAGAACCATGTTCAGCTATGTCTACAGCAAATAATGATGCCATTATTTTAAGGGTTTTTGGTATAAAACATGCATGATGTATATGATTATGTGTTTGTATGTATGTATATGTGAATATATGTATGTGTCAATTAGGTGAAAATACATTTGGTGAATTTGCGGTTTCAAGCATTTTCAATTATTAATTTCAATTTAACAGTTTTTATTTATGTTATTTATATAATGTTCTATTTTATTGTCTCAAAACTCAGCTGCACGGCAGCTGTGAGAGGAGAGACTTTCCAAAACTATCCTGTTTTTTTCCCCCTCATTCATCCCCTTAGAATGTCTCCTTATATATATTTAATTACATGGATATGTCATGACTGCATTAGTTATGGTTCCATTTAGATTTGGCAGCACGTTGAGATCAATCAGACATCTGAGCCACTTTAAAGAGATAAAACATTTTATTGTACTGCTGTAGATTTCAGTGATTTCCTCGTAGCGTGAAAGTAAATCAAGACGAGCGCAACAAAGACAAAAATGATTGCAGATACTGTTGTCGTAGGACCTTCGTGGAAGGGCTCTGCATATTCTTCCCATTCATCAGCTTTAACATCATAATAAGACAGACAAGGCTGTGGTGGCCCAGTGGGCTCAGAGATATACTGCGCTGTATCTACAGGTAGTCAGAGAGCTTCCTCCTCTGACATATACACTGCCCCTCGGGGACCCGGAGGTCAGCACAGTGAACTCTGAAGACTTTCCCACAGGTGAAGAGGGAATATAACATTAGAAGAAATAATGAATTTAAAATTTTTGTCATTTACTGTAAAATATAACGTATACAACAGAAGCATCCCTTTGCAGCAGTGTTTGATTTAAGAAGATCAATTTGTCTTTTTTAAAATAAAATTAGATATAGATAGATAGAATTAATAGAAATTAATTATCTGTTCAATGATTGTATATATTCTTAATACTGCGAATATAAAGAATATATACAATCATTGAACATCATCATATCATATAACATCCACAGTGAAAAGGATTAATGCAATGTTCCCCCACTGCTGGTTAGGTAGTTATGCAGCTAGCTAGCTTTGTAGTTTGCCATATAGCTATCTATCTGTAACAAGCTAGGTATATATGTTTCGGTGTAAGTTAGCTGGCTGGCTGGCTTTCTGGTAACCTAACTAAATAGCTTATCTATTATTCATGCATTATTCATTCATTCATTTGTTTTAAATTAATAATGTTGTACTAATCCAGCTAGCTAAGTCTTTCTCCAGTTTCTCTTGCTAGCTGACTTTGGGAATTTTAAACTTCTTAGCTCCCTACTCTATATTATCCCGTCCTCTCTATCCTGTCTATATTATACTGTCTTTCATCCATGTCTTGTTTCACGTTGATTATATTTATGTGTGAGGCTGGAATCAATTTTGTTGTTTTTACATGTGCGTTATAAATAGGTTCTATTTATTGAATTGGATACCATATCTTATCTCATCCATTAACATTGACACTGTAACATAAACAGACAACACAGACCTGCTGTTTTATTTGCTTTTATTTGCACTAGATTGTTTCAAACAGCAGTAAATGGATGCAGAAAAGACCAATAGCTGATGATGACCAAACAGACAACAACTTCTCAAACATGTACATCCTGTACACATGGAGACGAGCACAGGGACAAAGAAGCTTAAGGTACTTTTCAGACTTGGTGGACTTCATTAATGTATTATCTTTGGTTTTAAACATGCATCTTTTTAATTACTGTTGTTAGCATATATTTTCAGCTTGTAAAATTATTATATATATATGTATATGTATATGTCTTCTGCCTGTATCCATTTTGGATTTCTTCTATTGGTTTTTGAAAGCTTATAAAGTGCTGACATGCTTTAACACTTAAAGCTTTTCTTTGTGAAAATACAAGACCCTATCAAATTCTACGTAATCACATAAAGGATGCATCATTCATTGTATTTTTGAATGATTTATGACTACATTAACTGATTCACAGAAACCTCTCAAAATTGTATGAACTATCTGTGGTCAGTCCTCCACCAGAAAAAAAGGAAGCATGATTTGGTACACCTCAAAGAGTGCTTTGCCACAGGCCTGAGGCTGCGTGTGCATTATAACTCACAGACACCTCCTTAGTTCCTAAGCCTTTTATAAAACACCACTGCAGCACCAAAGGCGACGATGCAGCCCACAGCCAGGACAGCAACGGCCACACTCAGCCCCACAGTGGAACCTTCTTTCTCCTTTACGACCACGGGCCTCTCTTTGAGGTCAGCTTTCTCACCCTGGGTGACAATCTCTGAAGACGTAAGGGTGTATGTTTGGGATATATCATCAGCAGGGGTTCCGACGACCTCTCTTCTTCTCCTGTTGATGTTACATTGCTTGAAGGTGTCGCAAGTGCTCTTCTCGCAAAGCCTGGTGATGCAGTGGAGGTAGAAGGTGGATACCATCAGCTCCCGCTGATCGGTGAAGCGGAAGGCTGGAAAATTGAAGCGGGCACTTTGACTCTCCCCATTCATGATGATGGTTGTGAAGTCGTCCTTGGAGCAGGGGACGAGGAGGTTGAAGAAGGTGGAGTTGTCAGGCAGTGGTGAGATGGAGGCATAGCATCGGTCAAGTAAGACATAGTACTGGCCTGTCAAGTTGGTGGCCTTAACCTCTACATAGACTTGGGTCCTTAATTCAATCCCCTCCTCAGGAATGACTAATTTTGTTTGGTAATTTACATCGCTGAAGAGCTCCATCGTCAGGGTGCTGATGAAACTACCATTTTTGTCTTTGATTGCTATGGAGGAGGATGACACATCAATCTGAGTGTTGTTGATTAGATACTCTAAGGGATAGGCGCAGGAGTAGTAGTACTTCAGCTCAGCGTTGTAGGTGACAGTGCCTATTGTAGGATCATTGGATTGAACGATTCCACTGACGTTGACAGTCTGGATATTGGAAAAGTCAGAGAAGATACCTGTTCCAGGAGCACTGGTGGTCCGGAAGATGCTCCCGCAGGCATTGGTCATGTTCAACGGGAAGACAAAGCGAGCAACAGGTGGATCTACAGACTCATCGAGGGTCGCTCTGCATTCAGGGTCCCATATGCCGTTCAGGATCAGGCGGCTCTCATTGTATCCAGTGTAGAGGACCGGGCACATTATGATGGCCAGACTAATGGTGGAGGTGCCGCATACCACAGAGATGTCGGTGAGCTCAGGTCGTCTTATCCCATTACCGCAGTCAGCTAAGTCTAACTGACTGCTCTTGGCAATCACTGTGAGCAGAAGTAAAACGATCTTCATAGTTTCTTCTTCAGCCTTCCTTACAATTTTGTTTGCCTTCTTCAGAGTAGATGTGCTGTTGGACACCTCTGGTAAATCGTCTCAGTTTGTTTGAAGTCTTTGGGCTGTCTTCAGGGGTCTTTATAGCTAAGCGTGTCTTCTGGGATTGGTCCAAAACAAGGCCAAGTAATATGGTTTTAAAAACAAAACAAACACACACACACACAAAAAAAACCCAACCATATTGTATTAAGTAGGAGAGCTCCCTGCTTGGCCATATCCTAAGGGCAGCAACTGAAACCTGAAGCATCTTGTTGTCTTGAAATACATATACAGTGACCCTTTTTTCTTTGTTGGCTATGCTTTTAAATCTTAATTTTCTATGCCCCCTATTACTAAGCCACCATAAAGTAAGTGAACTTAACATTGTCCAAACAGGATTGCATGAACAACACACAATGCTGTGGATGTTCTTCTATCCAGGATGAGGCTTTGCAGCTTCAGAAATGACCTATATTGGAGGAAATGAGCCATTGGATCATCTGGCACCTGTCCTAAAGGATGGATATTTATTTGACAGGACAAATAGGCCATACTGCTGCATGTTTAGGATCAAAATATAAGCACATTTATCTACATTTAGGTATGGTAAGGAATAAAATGTCATGGGTTTTGACATTAAGCAAAGGGACATGGGTAAATATAAACATCACCCTATTAACTTGTTTGTGAAAATGTGAAATGTTAAAACTAGAGTTACTTACTTGCTCTAATTACAATTATAAGTTTCTTCGTTTTGGCCAGTTTACAAACAACACTGGTGAAAAATGCAGCCACAAACCATTACAGAGCCTCTTGTGTGTTCCTCATGTACATTCCTGACGACCATTGGTTTGTAGAGCTTTTTTTTAAAAATAATATAATGATTACAATACTAATCTATTCTGTACTTTTTGTTATGTTTGGTTAAACATTTCTGCAAGTATTTATATGTATTTACAACATACTGACACATATATCAGTACAAGTCCCTGTATGTGAAGTACCTCCGTGTCACAACAGAGGAGGTTGCAGCATAAGCATATTATGTTGCCAAACAACATGCATCACTTCGGTCAACTATTGTTCTTTGCCTTTTATTGAGACGCTAACGATGAAAGGGCAAGCTGATCCTGTGGTGTGTTATTAAAAAGGCAACAGGATCTGAGCAGTGTCAGGCAAAACAATGCTACTAATTCCAACAGAGGACAAAATAGCACAGTAGCCAACTACAAAAGTATCCATAACAAATAAATCATTGGAGAAACCGGATAAAAACATACTATAAACAAAAACAGGTGAAGATGATATATCTAAGAGTGGATTTTTAACGTCATTCTAACTATGGCAACCTTTACTGTTTTCTCAGAGTTTGTACTACATTCTAGTTCAAATCTTGTTTTTATGAACTACGTAAGACAAACACGTTTCATATCCTACTTTGTACTTAAAACTGAAATTGTTTTAATTGTGTAACCAGCAAACTTAAGGTGTTTGGTCACTAATTTTGTAATGAATACAATTAATTTTGAACTTCATTGACACCCGTAGAGACGTAAGGGTCAGATGCGTACGTAATAGCGACAGAAAAGAACGACCGAGGAAGAAGTATCACACAAGTGTGGTCACAAACACAGATGATATAGGGAGAATTGTGAGGAAAGTAAAGGATTAAGTGCACGAAAAGAAGGTGCAATGTACCTGGACTTTATTTTGTGAAACGTTTTAACTTCAAGGTTGTTGAATAAGTAGTCTGCCGCTGAAACTCCGGCGAGTGTTTCAAACATGGCCGTCGGCTAGCATAGCGGTCAAGGCTAAAATGTAGTTTGAGTATTTTGAGTTTATACATGTTTATTTTAATTTGTAATTAAATGTGTTTACGATTTAATCCGTTTATACCGAAATATGTTACCGGTCGTACAGTTAAGTTACAGTTTTGTGTTAATGTGTTATCTATACCAATTGCTTTCCATTCCATTTTATGTTTAAATGTGGAGAAATGCACTTATAAATACTATTAAGGATAAGCTCAGCTCATGGAGAGATTGTCTCTATGTACAAGTTAAAGGAGGTACTTGATGTAGCAATTCAATGAAAATTGTAATGAATATTTTTTATTTTAAATGAGTAATTTGTTGTTCTGCACAATATGCACAGACTGATTTTTGTGGACCCCATGATTGACTGCAAGAAATTTGATGGCGAACCACACCCCCAGAGAAGGCTGCAGAAATTCCTGCTACTGCCCGGAATCCACTCGGACCACGCAAGACTGACAGATACAGTAAGTGATCAAACACACACACACACACACTATGCCATTAGGTTATTATAAATTAGATTACCTCGACAACACAGAAATCTGATAACAACACAAGTATTGAGAAAATAAATTGGGATTTGCACAATCGATCGCTATTCATTGCAGTTCATTGTGGGGCAGTGAAAGCATCACTGGCTTATCTTAGGTAACTACACTGCTGTGACTAAAGCAATTTTAAAAATGGAACTCAGAGCAAGCTTTATTACATCTGATAAAATGTAAGCCTGGAACATTTTCCTTGGGTTACTCCTATTTTAAAGGAACCATGTGTCTGTGTTGTCACACACATTTGGCAGGAAGTTGGTGGTAAAACTACAAAAAGACTCAAGTTTAAGTCCTGCTGTGACTTTACTGGTATGTGGAGATGGGTTTTGAGGAAATGTGGAGGTCACATGGGTGGTGAGGGAAGGTCACCTGCTTTCCCGCTGGTTTACCTCCGTCCAGGCTGTGGTTGACTTTTAGAGCGCTGCGATCTGGTGATTAATGGTAAGACATTTGGAATTAGCCGGAGGGTCTGTTGCCCTGAGAAGTTGCAGTGGCAGAAACATTAGGTGGAATTTTTTAGTGGTGGAGAAATACAACCCTCTGCCGCTCTTTTACAGCACAGGTCATGACTCCGAGTCTTTCTGTTTTGATTGGGCCTTATGGGCTTTTTTGTCTGGTTGTTAACAGTCGAAAGGTGACGATAGCTTCCTGGACGGAGGAAATGATGTGATGTTTTATCAGCAAGACTTTACAGCAAGTATAAGAGTTTTTTTTTCTAGAGAGTGTTAATCTGTACCTCTGAGTGAAGCCTTCAATGTTTTAAATACTCGCTTAAGCTGTAAATGAATATAAGTCTGGACCTCAAACAGCCTACGGCTGTCTGAAATATTGCTTTTTTTTTATAAACACAATTTTTAGGCCTTGTGACAACACCTGGTCTTCCTATTAATATTTTCTTCAGACCTTCAACCTTCAATCAGCAAAAATCAATTCATGAAAAATTGGGTATTTTACATTATGTGCCTTTAATGTGGCCCACAACCGTGCCCTTTTACATTGATAAAGGATAGGGGTTCTGTTCTCACTGTGTATGTGTTTGTGCTAAATATTCTTGAAAAGCATGTGTATTCTAGTTTCATTTGCCTTCTAGTATGCTGCCGCTCTAGGTTCTGCACTTATAACTTTGACCTGGTTCACACCAGATTGTATAGCAGCCACTAAAGCAAGCTGTTGTCACACATGTAAATCCAACACCTTGGGACATTAAAGTTCAATATTTTGTGCGTAAATCCTCCCAGGTGGAGCACACTGTAAATGCGGTCATGTCATGTTGTCTTAGTATTGACAGATAGATTTATCACAAAATGTTAACTACCGCTTATTCTACTGCAGTGTCATTGGGGACAGGGGGGCGGTGGGAGGTGGCTGGAACCAATTCCAGCTGTCCATGGACAAGGGTGGGGTACTCCCTGGTCAGCTCACCAGTGCTTCAGGCGGCCACACATAGAGACACGTATATTCATACCTACGGTGTCCGATCAAGCTGAGCCCCTAATGAGCATGTTTCTGACAGTGGACACTGGCAAACCAATGATCCTCCTGCTGTAACTCCAACAACACCACCGTGTTTACTATGGGTTTGAAGAACAGTTCGAAAAATGATTCCTTCCTTCAGACATATACATAGACTATATTATTCGTGAATTTTAAAAACAGTCACCTACGTTCCCACAAAAATAAATGTTCTACTTTGCAGATGTTAAATAAGTAACAGAGACCATGGCCTCCTAAGCTCTTTCTTTGGTGACTTCAGGTTGTGGACATACACACCACAAACCCAATGAGGTCAAGACAGCCGGGACAATACGGACAACGCTGCCTCGTGGTAACTGTAGACTTCAAACGAACACTGTGCTGAAACTGGACCTTTTTTTCACAGAGGCGTGGATGTGAAAGTTCTTAAGCAGCCTCGGTAACAGAAGCAGGGATAAGACAGTGAGGAGAAACATGAGACATAAACAGAGAGACATAAATCATTGCAAATTTAGTTACACGCAATACTCACGTCAGTCACGTTCTAAAATTATTTAGACATATTTATAAGAGAAACCTGTCAACAACTGACAGTGTTGCAATGCAGGATGTGCCTTTTTTTCCTCTTGTATATTTATGGCCGATTCATGTTTCAGTTAACAGTTGTATGTTTTGTTGTTTTTGCATTTAATACATATTATTGTTATCATTATTAATAAAATAACAACCATAATGGTAATACAGTTATAAAAATAACATTAGTTAAATCAAGTGCAACAATTGTTCGTGTATTTTAGAGGTTTTATTTAGGTTATACATGAAGTCCTCGGTTTACGGCCTCCTCAACGTATGTCACCAGCTACCATAAATGTATAAAGTTTCGTTCTATTATTCTGGTGTATGGCGTTGCATGGGAACTAGCTGGCAAGGAGAGTAGATGTCATTGGATCGTACTACGTTTGCTTTCTTTCATTTTTGTTGTTTGGTTGTCCTTCATCATGACTCCCCAGTGATATGACTGTTAGCATAGGTTAGTGACATTTCTATCAGTTCTTCCGTATGTGCAGTATGTGAGTTACAACTTGTGCCATAAGGACATCTCTGCAGCTGCTTCATAAATAACTTTTTATGTAAAATTCTAAGAGAATATATACTGTGCTGACAATAGACAATGACAGAGAGAACATGCTAATCCACGTCATCGTGATCTGTAGCTGCCGCTTCAGTGTCATCATGTCAGA